CTGTCTGTAACACTTTTGCCCAACTGCACATGTGCCGAGAAGCATGGGGAAGGAGGGGTAATAGGGGGAGTGGGGTCAGACCTGAAGTGGCACCCAAAAAGCACCTTGTTCAAATTTGCAGATGAAACTAAGATGTGGGGAGAAGTGGGCATGCTAGAAGGGAGGGACAGGCTGCAATTGGATCTGGACAGGTTACAGGGGTGGCAGATGAGAATAAGATTGGATTCAATATTGCAGGGTACTGCACCGAGGGAGAAAGAGCCAGCAGCACACCTACAGGCTGGGGAACTCCCTTCTTGTCAGCACAGAGGCAGAAAAGGATCTTGGAGTCACTATTGACTCCAAGATGAACATGGGCCGCCAATTAGGGACGCAGCAGGAAGGCTAACTGCACCTTGTCATGCATCCACAGATGCATCATGAGCAGGTCCAAGGTGATCCTCCCCCTCTATATGACGTTGGTCAGGCTGCAGTTAGAGTACTGCGTTCAGTTCTGGGTGCTGCACTTCAGGAGGGATGTGGACAACATGGAGAGGGTCCAGAGGAGGGCCACTCGCATGGTCAGGGGGCAGCAGGGCAGGCCCTACGAGGAGAGGCTATGGGACCTGAACCTGTTCAGCCTTCACAAGAGAAGGCTGAGAAGGGATATGGTGGCTGTCTATAAACTGGCCAAGGGAGGCCAGCAGGCAATGGGAGAGTCCCTGTTCCCTGAGCACTACTGGGAGTAACAAGGAATAATGGCCATAAGTTGATGGAGATAGATGGAGATAGTTGATGGAGTAGATTCAGGCTAGATATCAGGAGGCACTACTTCACTGTCAGGGTGGCTAGGATCTGGAACCAACTTCCAAGGGAAGTGGTGCTCGCTCCTACCCTGGTGGTCTTTAAAAGGAGGCTAGATAGACACCTTGCCAGGGTCTTTTGACCCCAGCATTCTTTCCTGCCCATGGCAGGGGGTCGGACTTGATGATCTACTCAGGTCCCTTCCAGCCCTACCAACTATGAAACTATGGACACGGGGCTTCATCCCTGCCAGCTCCCTTTCCTCTATCATTCTTGATGGGCAGTTTGCTAGTTTAATAATAATACATTACCATCAATATTTATTACTCTTGCTATGCATTGATATAAAATTCCTTGGCTTTGCCTATATTAGGGAAGTTCTACTGCTTCAGCTACAGCAGTGGTACTGAGGCAGTTTACTGTGTGGGTCTTTTAGCAGATGGGAGATTTTCTACTGCCACAGCTACAGGAGTTCTCCCTGTGTAGAAGCTCTGTACATCCACACTGAGGCTGTATCTGCACTGTGGGTTTTGCTGGTGAAGTTATATTGGCTCCAGGACACCCTTAGCTGACGTAGTTCTGCTAGTAGAACATTGTGTGGCAACAAGGGTCTTGTCTGCAGCTTTCCAGGCTCTGCAAAGCTCTGCGGTTGGGACCTTTCCAACTACAGTTTATGCTCTGGCCGCTTCTCTGCCTGTAGTTTTCTTCTGCTTGTGATCACTTGCTCATTCTGCCCTTTAATCCTTAACTTCCACAGTGTCACACTCCCTTGCTTCTGAGAAACCTCCATTGGTAGTTGCCTTCAGTTCTTTATTTCTTTCTAACTATTTTCAGGTCTTTTTCCCTTTCTAGTAGCTGTCTGTTTAAAAAAAAAAGGGGGTGGGGAGGGATATGTGAAAGTGGCGTGTATATACACAGATGATCTTCCACCAAAACAGGTCTTCCCACCGGAAACAGCAATCAGATGGGAGGGAGGAGAATAGTGATTTTCTTCCATGCTCCAGCGTAAACCCAACTTTTGATGCCAAAATTTGAAAAGAAATTTGGAGTAGATGCCCTGATCCTGCAAAGATCGAAGCAGGTCTATCTTCTTCTTCAGCAATCCCTTGCAGTCTCAAGGATGATTGATTTCCATGATTGTTTTATCTGTGAATCTGAAGATGGCTGATGTGGCCAATTTAGGATCAACAGACTCTGTTGCAATTTGGGCATATCCTTCTGTGTAGGGTGGGTGGCTACAGATTCTTTATTCAGCCCATGACGCACTATTTATGCTATTCCCTCTTTTCCACATCTATAACACATAGGGAATCTACTTTTAGACCCTCTAGGATGAAGTTAGGCACTTGCTTAAGTCTTTGGAAGATGTAAGCTGCTAATTCTCTCTTCTTCTTTGGCATACTTTGTTGGGTGTGAAATGGATGCCACTGTTTATATTAAATTAGGTCTTGAGCTAACCCCCAACTAAAATAAGGAAAACAGTTCTGTGAACTATTTCAGGCTGTGTGTACCTCAGCCAGGCCTCATCTTTGTGGGGAAAATTGTTCTGGTATATCAGTATGTGTCTATGTGAAGAAACGACTAGTATAATTTTAGTGGTACACCGGCTGCACTATATTTACACTGGTGGAATATATGTAGCAGTTCCCAGCCTGAAATGATAGTACAGAACGCCGTGTGCATATCAATCAGGTCTTTTCTGCAGGGGAAATATTACACAGGTATAACATAAAGGGCTTGCCTACATGAGGATATGTACAGTATAATTATTCTGCTACAATTATACCAGTATAACTCCCTACATGGACATTCTTACCTGGAATAAAAATGTGTGCCTGGGCAGTCACAGCCATATAACTGTAGGGATATAATTATCCGAGTAAATTTCCTCATGTAAGCAAGGCTTTTCAAATATATATTTTAAACAATATAGTTAAAACATTACAAATCCCTTGTGTAATCTAGGGAGATAAGGATGATATAAGGAGGGCTTTTATTGTTTTAGCTTGAGTTAATTGGGAACAAATTTAAATAAAAAAAAAGACTGACTTGATCTACTCTTTAAATCATAATTCATTACAGGAACAGCACTGATTCAGTTGTAGTAGTTTAAAAGCAAATTTAAGTTAAACCCGTAAAACGTGCCCATCTTGACAAGGCTTTGGACATTCCTGTTCAGTAACATTCACTCTGAAGGTTTTTCTTTTTTGCAACCACCCACACACACTTCTAGACTGCTGATTCTGAAATATCTACTAATGAAATATATTCTAATTGATGCCAGTACATACATCTCTTCTCTCACTGCCACCTTTTCATATAGTATTCTGTAGTCAGTCCTAGTTAAAAAAAAGGATGTAATTGTAATAGAAGTGATCCAGAAACCAGGAACAAAAATCATGAAACGTATGAAGAGATTTCAATAGGAGCTGGGAGAGGAGTCTTTGGGATTGTAGGCTGGAGAAAAGATGAACAAGAAAGGTTATGATAGCTTTGGAAAAAAAGCAAAACAAAACAAAAGTACATTTTTTGTCAATTCCAAAGTTTCAAAAATCTTGAGTTAGTCCTCCCCCCAGTCAGTGAGGTTTGTTTAAAAAAAACATATATTCATCTGCATAGTGATTTTTGAAGCCTCCCTGCTGCTCCTGTGTGATAATTAATTACTGTTTTAGTGCTCCTAAATAAGGTTTTTTTTGTCCCTGCTATAAGAGGGGACCCCAAACCACACATCGGTGTTGTCTCACAGTAGCTCTTGGGGCTCTTCACCCTCACCTTTTCCCCAGGCTGGGAAGGGGGAAGCAATATACTATGTCCTCCCTGCCTTCCTACACTGGGTCCCATTCCTGTGCTTACTGGAGTGTGAAGGATTAGAGGATTCTTTCTTTTCCTTTGTTCTTATATTGTGGCCTCTTGAAGGCAGGGAGAGAGTACTTCCTGCAGGAGCTGTGTTGGCTGCTGTGAGAGGCTGTTTCCTCCCAAGCACCGCTGACATTTAGGTGTGGCTGGAACTTCTACTGTGGGAGACCTGCTCCCGCCCTGCCAAATTTGTGTGCAAAGAATGCACAAGAGCTGGCAACAATTGTGCACGGCCTCAAGCAGGGTCTCTCATTTTCCTTTACAAAGAACAGAAGGGCATTCAGTGGGGCGGTAGGAGTTCTGAAGCATATAAAAGGAAACCTCTTCTTATACAGCCTGTGTTTATCAGTGGGAATCATTGACACAGAATAGAATCAGCTCTTGCCTTGAGCAGGGGCCTGGACTAGGCGACCTCATAAAGGCCCCTTCTGGCCCTATATTTGTATAATCCTGTGGTTTCAGACCCAGGGCACTCTCAGAAAATGCCAGCTCCTAGCTGTTACTCTTTTTTGACTTCAGAAAAATACTAGAGTATTAGAACAGCAAGGCATTGGAATAGCCTGCCCAGAGAAGTTGTTGATTCTCCCATGAACGACTGGTGCCTCCTGAGACAGGGGGCGGGGGCATCATTTGTAGGCAGTAGCATCGGCGGCGAGGGGGGAGGGAATGGGGTGGTGAGTGGTGATCACTCACAGAAGCTGGCAGCGGCCAATCTCAGGTGGGGCACATGCCCCCCACCCTGGACGCATCGCCTATGGATTCTCTGTCACTGAAGGTCGTCAAGAAGTTGGACAGCCACAGGGCCAGGGCTGATCAAGGCATAGCTATACCTATATTTTACTGTGGGTATTTCCTGTACTTCTGAACTTTGCTGGTTGCCCTGCCCTCCCCCAGCCCCCTTTCTGCTACATGTGTGGGGATGTTTTCAAGCCTCCCTCAGAGGCACTGGGTGTTGGCTACAGCCAAGGCTGGGGACTCTGGGGCGAGCCGATGCTCCCCCTGGGACCGAAGCCAGAGGTTCCTGGCTAGATGGTCTTGCCCCTCTGCTCATGGTCAGACCAATTACTGTATTTGGGGGCAGAAAGAGATTATACCCCATAGTCAGACTGGCACAGACTGTGGGTTTGGGGGTTTTTTTAGCCTTCATTCGGGGGGGGGGGGGGGAGGGGTGGTGCAGCACAGACAGCTTGGGCCATGGCTAGGCCGCCCTCCCTGTGGGGGGGGGGGGGGGGGGGCAGGGGTCTGTACCCCAGATCTCTTTTGAGCATGTGCTGAAACACATGAAATACACTGAAATACTTGAACTAGATTGAAATAAATAGAAGTAGGATTTTGGCTGCCAGGGGTTCCCCTGCTTTACCTGCAGCAGGTGAGGGCATTAGTTTTGTGTTGTGTCAGGGCTGAGCAGAGTTTAGATTCTGACTTTATAGGATGGCTGGGATGGCGGTGATGTTGCCTCAGGCAGGGGGCCAGACTGGATGAGCTCTGGAGGTCCCCTCCACCCGACTTCTCTAGGACTTGATGAATTCTTCTGTTGCCAAGACCCCAGAAAGCCCACAGCAGACGGATGGGCAGAACACGGATTCCTGTGTGCAATCTCCGGGTTTGCCTGGAGTTGTGTCTCTGCACCCGACCCCGCTACCAGCTTGTGGCACCGCAAGCCCCAGGCGCTGTCTAATCCCCGTGTGCTGGGGACCGGGCCTGGTACATGGACCCCTCCCAAGCTCCGCGCTGCTGGCCTGGCGCTGGGGGAGAGGCCGTCCCGAGAGGCGACGCGCCAGAATTCGCGCGGGAAGGGGCCGCTTGCAGTTCCCGCGGTTGTTCTGTGCAGGGGGCGTGGCCAGGCCAGCAGCTCCGGCCAATGGCAGCGCGGAGGGGACGGGCTTGGCCCCTCTTCCCGCGTTCATGTACAATGGAGGGCGTGGCCCGGCGGGCACTCGGACCAATGGGAGCGCGGATCCGAGGCCGGCTCGCGCTGCCATTGGTGGGCGCGGCGTTCGGGCGCCAAGTTCGAAGGGGGATATAAAGGGTCTCGGCCGCCGGCGCCAGCTCCTGCCCTGCGCCCTGTCACAGCTGCCGCCACCAGCACCAGCATCCTGCTGCAGCCCGCCCGCGCCCCGCTCTCGGCCCGCAACGACCAGCCGCGCCTGTCGCCCATGAAGCACCTGGCGCTGAGCGACAAGGAGAACACGGTGAGTGCCCGCCCCAGGCCAGCCAGCTTCGGAGCCGCTGCCGCCACCCGCGCCCTGCTCATGCCCCGTTTCCCCTTCTCTCCCTCAGCCACCGGCGTTGAGCAGCACGCGGGTCCTGGCCAGCCGCGCGGCGCGGAAGATCTTCCAGGACGCGGACGCCAAGCCGGTGAGTGCGCCCCCTCCCCACACGTGCTCCGTTCCCGCCAATCCCCCCCCACGTGCTGTTTTTCCGCCACTTCTCGCTGCCACGGCCCCCCGTGACCTTCCCCGCGTGTCCTGCAGGCGCCGCCGGAGGCCGTCCCGCACCGGGAGGAGGACGAGCCGCTGTTGCGGGAGAATCCGCGCCGCTTCGTCATCTTCCCGGTGCAGTACCACGACGTGTGGCAGATGTACAAGAAGGCTGAGGCCTCCTTCTGGACCGCGGAGGAGGTGAGCGCGGCCGGGGGCATCAGGCAGCTGCTCCCCCTTGCCTGCCTTGTGGGTGGCTTGTCCCTGTCAGGAGCAGGGGCCGGGATCCCCACTCAACACAACTGGGCTCCTGATGGCACCTACCCAGGGACCAGACAATGGCTTTAAAGTAGCCCTGTGGCTTTAAAATGATCCCCATGGCAAAACCTGGGGGGCCGCAGGGGCTTGGAGGTCTCCAATACTTTGATCTGTGGGGTATCAAGCAAAGGAGGCTACCCTGTTGCTGTTCCTTCCAAGGTTCGCATCTTGCACTCAGCTGGCTGCCTTGAATTTTTCATTTGAGAAGCGCTCAGGTGCATGCACCTGGTGTCTAGTTACATCTGTACATATACACATGCCTAGACACCAGCACCTGAGCACTTATCAAGTGAAAAAAATTTAAGGTGGTTGGAAGCTTCATCGCAACTTGCCATGGCTCTAGGGCAGGGGTGGATAAAATACAGCCTACAGGCTGGATCCGGCCTGTCGACTTATTGGATCCTGCCCATGGACAGGCATCCACCAATTCAGTTGTATCCAGCTTGGCTGCCCCCCACCCCTGTGGCCCTCTGCATGGGGTGAGTTCTGCCCATTCCTTCCCCCGCCCACCAGGCAGCACCATCCTAGCTAGTGTGCACAGCTTCACCCACAGAGCTGCTCCTGGTGTAGCTGCAGCTGCCTGGGTGCTGCTTGATTTTCCCACCTATCTCCTCTTCCTCCTGCCCCTGCCGTGCCATTTTGTGGGGATGCATGCTGGGCAGCAGATGCCCAGCCAGGTGTGGGGGAAGCTGCAGCCTGGTGGCTCCTGCCCCAGTGTGTAGGGCTTCATCTCCCAGCTGCCTTCCATCTACTTCAATTGCCTGGCACAATGAGCAAACCCCCTCCCTCCCTCCCTTTT